ACGGGAACTTACTGACTCAAGGCAAGTTTAGTATATAATACCACTGTGTATTAGATACCTTATGTACATTTTTAAACACGTCACCATGCTTGTAATGCAGTATTCTGTAAATTAAATCGGTATTTACCGGTTTATATCGGCAATTTTATCGTACCTGCCTGATACATTTTACAGATAATATTATCCTTGATTTTTTTTATTACGGAAAATGGGGTAATAAGCTGTAGTACATTACATTTCATAGCTACTTTTTCTCGGCCCGCCCCCGCCTTTTTCCGATGAGGTATCCAATCAAACGCTGTCACTTGGCAGTGGGTTATATTTTCCCAACGTTTACTATGACCTTGCCACTGAATCTCGATAAACCTAGTCACCGGCCGATCCATCCATAAAAATCTAAACACAGCTATTACCGCAGCTTCATGTTGTATTGTCTATGCCAACTTCCTGTGTTTACATCGAGTACTGGTTAGGTTAGGTTGTTTTCGAAAACCCTCAACTTCTTTACCGTTATGCTCGTCGGTGAACAATACAACTGGCAATAATCTATCTTTACGTACCTATATAAAATGTTAAACAAATTGGCGCCTACCCCTCTGTCCGTGAAAATCTAAACACGCATACGGTCGTAGGTATTCGAAATATATTAATTTATCAGTTTATTAATAAATACATATTTTGATTGCATACAGGAGATGATTACGGTACGTCGTTGAACGAATCTACTTACAAAATAGAAATGAAATTGACTTTTAAACGAATGAGAGAAGAACATTTCGGTACATACCATTGCATTTCGAAAAATTCTCTAGGCGCGACGGACGGGACAATCAAAGTTTACAGTAAGACAAATACCTATCTTCACCAAATTAAATACCTATATTTACAATATTAAAATAAACATACATACATTTTGATAGGACTGCCAGCAACAAATTGGAACAATAATAATTATCAAACATTTGTCACAGTTTCCAACGACGGGCTCCAACACATTATAGGTGCGCCACCTACACCACAAAAAAACGATATAATAGTAATAATGATTTTGTATTCAGGATCAGCGACGTCTAACGATGAAGATAGAAACAACGGTATGCCGATCCGTCTGCAGGAGTCTTCGGCCATTTTTTATCGTGTCGTTTTCTACGGAATACTGCTGCGGTTATCTTCTAAACTATTATTGTCGTAATAAGTTCATTACCTACTTAAAATAATATCACGACGAAAATATTATGTTTTATGAGAAACAGGGTATCGCGATTGTATAAAAGTATGTGCCTCTTTATAATATTATATTATGATGATGATAAGTAGGTCCCTATATACTTAGTGGATATAGTGATACTTGTATTATATAAATGGCGCGCCTATTATAAAAACACGTTAAATGATTGTCTTAAAATTAATAAACAATTTAATTTTTATTTCGCTGTTTATGACTCGTATGAAAATGTATACATTTTAATAAGACGTATTGTAGGTAAATTAACATTCCGATTAAATACAAAATTAGTTCAAAAATGGTCCTCTCTTACATTTTAATACTCAACATGGTATACCAGTTACTTATAAAACATAATAGGGTATAAGTCAATTTTACCGGCCATTATAAAACAAAATAACGCTGAACATAAATGAAACCTATAAATAAAAATGTAAAATACCTTTAGTTTCGATCGATAGAAAAAAAAAAATTGATATCAATTAGTAGCGGAAGAATGGAAATAAATACGTTTTTTTTGTTTTTAAATTTTTTTTTTTTTACAATTTACCTAATATTTATATTCATAAATTGTTTTTAAATTAAATCCTGGTGACCGGTGTCCGCAGTTATTGAGCACGTCATGAATCGATATTTGTTTTCGTTTTAGAAAGCCGAATTCACTACACATATTGGCGTATCTGGAATACTTTCACGAAAACATTACATGTACGCAATCATTAAAAATCGAAATGTTTTTCGATCATGTTTTTAATCAACACATATCAATTTAGGTACCTATACACCATATTTTACAGGTAGGTTAGGTACCCGCGTATATATTGTGATACTGTGATGTTTTATAATATTTTAGATAGGTACGTATACTAGGTAATAGTGGCGGATCCATTTTGTTTAGGGATAGGAGCAAACCCTTTACAACAATAAAAATTAGTGGGGTAGGTATCTATATATTTTATCGCAATACGAGAAGAAACGTATGCAGGCACTTCATTACAGTTTTGGGGGGAAAACGACCCGTCATTATTTTTAAACAGGTAGGTATCTATAATTGTATTAACTTTACGATTATTTTCCATTAGTGTCAACATAGATACGTTAATGTATAATAATATTGTAAATTAGTTTAATGACAAATAAACTTTTATCGCAATCTGAATATCTGTATTGTTATAAAATTATGTGTCAATAACAAAGAAAAGATTTAAATTAACGTAATTAAAGCACGCGTAATTTATTGGGCGGGTACAAGATTCCCGTTCCCGTTTAGAGTGACCGAGTTGAGGTTGGAATAAATTTCAAAAACACTACGCAAAACCTGGGGTTGATTGGAGCTGCAATTATGTATAGAGCATTTACGTGCTTTTCAGAATGGACTTAACATATAATTGTTAGAATGGCTAAAATAAAACTATATAGTCTATAGTATGCTTATAAACTATAATATAAGTACCATTATAATTTTTATTTTCTAGTTTTACAACTGTAAATGTGTTTAATCAAACATTAGATATGAGTAGGTTAGGTACCTACTAACACTAATTTTCGGTAAAATAAGTGTGCACTGAGCATACCTATTATTATATTTTATAATATAAACTTCTCAAACATCAATAATTGACGTATGCTTAAGATATACTTAGGAATGTGTAATTATAGACATGTAATATTGATTGTTAAACGTGTTTAATTTGAAATTTGTGTTATAAAATATTATTGTACCAGTTAATAATATAAGTAAAATGTTCACGTTAAAATTATATACTTACCTGGTAATCATACCTATATATTATTTTTACGGTACCCATAGCTATTACTACCTACCTAAATAATGGAGCACTTTTATTAATTCAAGTAGGTAGGTAATTACAATAATTTAAGTATTAAGTTCCTAAAGACTATAAAACAGACACTACTATAATACCTACTTATAATATTATATTGTGTACCTAACTATCTAAACTATCTATACCAACTATAGTCTATAATAATAAATTATAATTATAATTTTTGTTTGAATATTATTATCTTTAATGCATAATTATTATTAATTATATCCTTTCTTTATGTGTATATATTAATACTAAGTATTATTTATTGTCCCTTAATAAATTGTTTGGGTATTTACAAATATTTATTAATATAAGTATAGGGAGACTTCTATTTTGTAATTTTTTTTTTTTTTTAAATATATATAGAGGTATTGGTATAAATGTATTATAAGTACTTATCTAGTAATTGTACCTATATGTAATACACTGATCAAAGTATAATTGTTTATTATTAATAAATGTGATTACGAAAATCAAACTGAATAAACATCATAACCAACTCTTGGTAACAATTACTGAATTAACAAATACTTATATTGGCTATTGTTGTGGAGTTAACATATTAAGTATTTTTTCTACCAATTTTTTTATTTTTTAATGTCACCCAGATGGTAAAGGGATATTTTTATCAGTTTTGTAGACAATTTAGTTATTTTTAGAACTTTTTTTACTCTAGTAATGGTGCTCTGCTGCTGTTTTTTCCTTTTGTTAATATTGTAATTTGTTATCATTTTAACAATTATTTCCATTTAAAGTAAACATACTTAAACTTAATCTTAGATTACTGTTTTAAAAAACATTTATTTTTAGATATGTAATATTAATGTAACTTTTTAAGAGTGAATAATTATCATCCCTCACCCAGTGCTCAGATTGGAATAATAAAAGAAGAAAAGCTATAAGTCCCTTGTAATTATTGAACTCTAACTAACCAGTGAGGGGTTTTGCCCTCCACAATTCCCTTACAGCAATTTGTCTGTCTTTAAACCACTTTTCTATCAGAAATTTTACTCAGATAATAAAAATTAGTAGCAATTTATTTCTGATGGAAAATGTTTTTTATTTGGTACGCTGATGTAATTTTTTAATATTCCTTTAAGTTTTCTTGACGATCAGAGGAAAAAAAACTTAAACATTTACACATTAATAGTTTCTATTTTATTAAATTTTGTTTTTTGTTGTAATTCTGTGAAAATTAATTATAGAAACCTAACATTTCACCAAATGCCAGAAATAATACAATTTTTAAAACTTTTTGTCAATTTTTGAGTTATTTATAGCCCTTTAACATTTTTTTATACTTAATTTGGTTTTAAGTAGATGACATTATTTTGCCTCGTTGAAAATTATTCAAAATTTTAACTCAAAGTTTCATGAGTTTTAATTAGTGGTTAAAAAGAAAAATGTTGAATGCATCATATATTTGTTTTTATCTACAACTATTTTAATTCCTGTGTTAATGAAAATATGCATTTTGACAAAAATTTAAAAATATATGCACTCATGTTTTTCTCTTAAAACAATAATAGTAAAGCTTTGCTAAAATTTCTGAAAAATTAGTTGAGGTATTCTGTTCCCTCACGTTTTCCTTCACATTGAAGGCTACCAAAACTTCAATTTCAAAAAATGCTGTTTTTAGAAATTGCACTCATATTTGAGTAATACAATTATCTACTGTAATTTAGTTCTAAAAAAATAAACTCATACATTTGTATAGTTTAAACTGATCAGAACACTTGAAATTATTTAACTAATAACACTATATACTATTAAAAATGAAAAGAAAATGCTCATTGTCCAATATTGTTTACACAGCTTCTAGAAGCAGTGACAAGAAAAAATAAATTGTATAAACTACCTTAAATAATGTAAACTTTAAAAGTACTGCTTGATACTTCAACAGTTGTACAAAATGTATATAGATTTAAAATTTGCAACAAAAATGATAGAAAAATATTATATATTATAAACAATTTACACAAATATTATTTTTATTATTAAAATAATATCACTGAAAACTTAATACTTACAAACAATGGCATATACAATTATTCAATAAACACAAATATATTATTATTAATTTACTTATCAATTGATAGAACAGCAAATTCTTCTGCAATATTTACTAGACTATCAATATTTTGACTGTTTGTTCCAGACGCCTGAGCAGAGTCAGCCTTGCCACCGCCTTTACCATTAATTGAAGAAGCTACTTTGTTCACCCACTCATTTGCCTTAAGTCCTTTATTGTTTAAGTTTTTAGATACTGCACAGTGACAAAATATTTTACAGACTTCTTTATCTTCAGATAATAACATTACTGCAATATCAGGCTTAATTGTTTTTACTTGCTTCAATGCTGTGTCGATAGCCTTGGTATTAGATCCTACATCAAGTTTATAAACAAATACAGATTTATTCGCCTCGGCCAGTATTTTCTCTTTAACCGTTTCCGTGATAATAGTGGCTATAGCAGCTTGACGTTTTCGCTCTTCGTCTGCAATACCTTTTTTAAGGCCTGACAGTACACATCTCAATTCTTCTTTTACCCAATAAGGTATTACAGACTTGCTTATCTTATCTTGTGCATCATTCACAGCCTTAGCCAAATTCGGATCATTAACGTCCAGTTGCATCACATATTTTTTTAGTTCATCAGCTCTATTATACGCCTTTGTTGCTTCTGGACCAGTTAATGCAACGATTCTTCGTATACCTTTAGCTATTGCTTCTTCAGTGAGTATTGCAAAACGTTCCATGTGTCCGGTTTTATGTAAATGAGTGCCTCCACAAAACTCTACAGAAGTTTCTAATCCCGAAGTTCCTTCAGGATCTGTTAGCAGTTTTTCTATTGGTACTCCCAATGAAACAACTCTCACTGGATCTGGGTAAGTTTCATCAAACATAGCTCGCAAACCTTTTATGTGTTTAGCTTCATTTAAAGGTGCAACTTTGGCATACATCAGATCATTTCTATTGATTATATCATTTGTTAATTGTTCTACCTTTGCGACTTGATCTACAGTCATAGCAGATTTGTTAGTAAAATCAAAACGTAATCTGTCCGGCGCGACTAATGATCCTTTTTGATTTGAAATATCACCCAAAACAACACGTAAAGTGTGATTTAAAGTATGAGTAGCGGTGTGGTTGTTCATCACTAGTCGTCTTCTTTTATCATCAATTTTTAGTACTACTTGATCGCCCACTTTTAGACTACCGCTTTCTAAAATGCCAACATGCAAAATATAGCCAGCGCGAACTTGAACATTTTTAACATAGAACTCTGTGTCTTCGTCTTTAATCATAGATCCTTCATCGTAAATTTGACCTCCCTGTTCGGCATAAAAACATGTTTTATCAAGTATAATGCCACATTCTTGTAAAGCGCCTACTTCATTAACAAATTCGCTAATTATTCGGATACCTAACACTTTTGATGTACAAGGTTCAAAGACGTATTCTGCATTTGGGCCATCTGTGATGGCACTATAGCAATATTTTGGCGAATCATCGGTGGTTGGCATTCCTTTTGCCTGTAGATCCGCCAAAGCATGAACGTCCAAGGAAACAATTTCTTTATTTCCACCGGTCTTGTTTTGACTAATAATCTGCGCTTTTTTTTTCGCTTCTTCGTAGGCTTCCATATCTATAGCGAATCCTTTTTCTTCAACCATCAGATGTGTCAAATCTACAGGAAATCCATATGTGTCGTACAACCTCCAAGCGACTTCGCCGGGTATAATTTTGTCAGTCAATTTTAAAATAGTTCTATTTAAAAGGTTACGTCCGCGCAATAACGTTCGCAAAAACTGTTCTTCTTCTTCGTTAATGATTTCCATTACTAGCTGAGGGTCTTTTGTTACTTCGGGAAAAGTGTCTCCGAGTAAACCAACGACTACATTGACCAGAGAGGCGAAAAATCCAGGTTTACCGTTTAACTTTTCTGTGGCGTATCTGACGGCGCGTCTGAGAATACGTCTCAATACGTATCCACGACCGGTATTGTCGGGTCGCCCTCCGTCGGACAATGCGATTGTCAATGTACGGGCATGGTCGGCCAGCACTCGGTAGGCCATGTCTTTCTGATCGACGTCTTCTGCGCCTACTTTACCTTCGTAAGGCGGAGCGTTCGTACCGCTTTGAATAGCGACGAACAAAGGCTGAAACACGTCGGTGTCATAATTTGACCGTTTGTCCTGAATGACCGAGACGAGACGTTCGAACCCCATACCGCAATCGATGTGCTTTTTCGGCAAGTTTTTCAAACTACCGTCTTTTTCTCGGTTAAATTGCATAAATACAAGGTTCCAAATTTCCAACACGTCCGGATCGTCTTGGTTAACTAAATCGGCCGCCAAACGATTGCCAATACGGTCGTAATGTATTTCAGAACAAGGGCCGCACGGTCCGGTTTCGCCCATTTCCCAAAAATTGTCTTTCATGTTGCCGGGGATAATGTGGCTTTCGGGCAACCCTAAATTCAACCAGATATTTTTACACTCCAAATCGGGTTCGAGGCCGGATTTTGCATCGCCGCCAAAGTATGTGACATACAAACGGTCGGGCGACAGTTGAAATTCTTGCGTTAAAAACTCCCAAGCCCACTGGCATATCTCGGTTTTAAAGTAGTCGCCGAAAGACCAGTTTCCCAGCATTTCAAAAAACGTATGATGATAGACGTCCTTACCGACATCGTCTAGATCGTTGTGTTTTCCTCCGGCACGAATACATTTTTGTGTGTTAACAGCTCGGGTCCACTTGGCCATATCGGACGATGGATCAACGGTACCTAAGAATATCGGTTTGAACTGATTCATCCCGGCGTTGGCGAATAATAATGTAGGGTCGTCTAAAGGAACGACGGATGACGAATATACATATTCGTGATTTTTCTTTTTGATGAAAAATTGAATGTACCGATCCCGGATCTCTTTGGCGGACGGATTCATTGTCAATGTATATGTTTTTGATCTACCGAATTGATCTGTAAAAGTCAAAAGGAAGTACCTATTATTTAAATTTTACAAAAATATAGACACAATCAATCGATTTATTATATTTTAAATCTGCACAGCACACCTCAACAGTGAAACAAAATACGACGGGAAACAGCAAGAAAACTGAGTGAATGTAAAATAAATAAAATCACGTATGAACGAACGTGTCGAGAAACGTTCACGCGACGTGTGCGAAAAAAACATGCTACGATAAGAAACCGACGTTCCAGATTGATAGCGTAATACCATTCGAAGATTATCCATGATACCATTAATGATAGCATTAACCGTTATCAGATACCAACAAAATTCATGACATAAGTACTGTAATCTACAGATCGCATCACTTCCTTTTGTTCCACATTGCACCTTTTGTTCCAATGACAATTTTTAATTCTTACTAACAAATTAACAACTCTCAAAAACAAAATACCATTGGTTTTTTGTTCCGAGGCACATATTTTTAAACTGTATTTTATTCCAACTTCTAAATCACTTTTTTTTCATATGTATTTATGTTCCACGGTTAAATGATATACAGAATACATTAAAAACACATTGTATGGAATCAGTTCCATGACACAGTTTCTTGGCTCAAGTACTTGTCTCTAGAAATCGCGATAACTCAGCCACCGGAACATAATAATATATTGTTTGTCTACCTAAAACCTTTGACGGCTTTATCTATTTTTATCTTAACTGATCTGATTTTTGTCCATGTAAAATGTACCTATGCAACATTCCAACATTTATAAATATTCTTTGTTCGATGAAAAATTATTAAAAAAAGGTGATTAGGTACCTGTAACCTAGTGACCTAGACACACAAATATAATCTCTATATTAATATTAAAATATTAACAATCCAGTCAATCAATACTACGCCATGAATATACCTCAAAAAGGTACTACAGCCGTCAATGGTCTGGAACAACTATAATTTGGTGATTTTGAAAAATTTAAAGCAAAACACAAATATTAGAATAGAAATTTTTTGTGCTATTGGGATTGTATTCCAAATATTTTATTCCAATAACATAAAACATATTTCCCAATTCATTCATGTTTCAAAATACATTTTCCGAATAACTATTTTTTCCACAAGCCACTTGTTCCAATCGATTTTTGTACTATACTTTTTTAGAACAAATAACGATTGGAATATTTTTTTATGGAACAAGAGGTAGATCCTTATATCACGAACCAGTCCTAAAAGATCATCTAGACCGTGCTCTTGGCATAGATTTTTATTGTTATCTCAGTTTATCATGAATTATGGGCGAAGTTTTGTATAATAATTTTCAATTTTTTCAGTTTCCATATAATTGTTTTTCTTTATTATTTTTTTAAATTTCTATTTGAAATATTAAAAATGTATTCCAATCACTCGTCTGACCCTAGAAGACCAGAAAGAGAACACAGGTTATTGATTATTATTATTATAGAATTAATTTTAATGATTAAACAAAAAAACAAAATTTTATCATAGAAATAGTTGATTTTTTTTATGAAACTTAAAATATTGTTTCTATTTGACCCCATCATGAAATTGTACAAATTCTGTTAAATTACAGATATAAACCTAAAGGTAATAATGATTCACAATCTATTATGCCTGGCGAAGACTTGACATCCGATTACATGAATATCTTGGGTATGATTTTGAGCATGTCTGGTTTATTGATGAAGGTAAAAAAAATTCATAATCTTGTCTGTTATTGATATTTATATTGTAATTTTATATTTATTATTTAGTTTAAATGGGCAGCCTGGAGTGCTTTGTTCTGTTCTTGCATAAGTTTTGCCAATTCTAGAGCAATAGATGACAACAAACAAATATTTAGTAGTTTCATGTAAGTATATTTTTATCAGGTATATAGTTAATATTTAGTAGTATAACATTAATTTAATAACTTAGAATATGCTGAGTTAATTCATTACTACAATATTGCATTTGTACGCTTATGTAAAAAATAACCATAAACATTTAATTTCACATGATGGCTTAACAATAACAAAATATCATAATTCAAATTTGACATTCCATTGCAATATTTAATTCAAAATTCGTGATTTGTAATAGTTTTTTAAAATTCAAGAAAAAAAAGTGTATATTATATTAGCTATAATAATAATAATCAATTTGTGAATGTGATTACAGCCTGTCACATAATTTAAAGTACTTTTCTCTGAACTTTAAACAATTATTAAAAAATAAATTTAATGAAAATAAAAAGTTGAAACATTTTAAACACCTACCTGCCTATATATTTAGAATAATAATTTGACTATTAACTTGAACATTTTCAACTCATTGTCAATGGTGCCCAAACTATACTTCAAATGTTGCAATTGCTACATATCATATTTATAATTAATATGAATAAGGGTGGGTAGGTATTCCCGGTAATTAGGATTTTGGATAGTCAGCTAGAATGGGTATAACATTCAAGTTATATTTTTTAGTTTTTTGTAGTGATGTTTACAAAAGTTTCTGAGATGGGTAGTGGTTTTGAGTTTCAAATTCTACTACAATATAAAAATATAGTTTGGGTGCCACTGCTCATTGAGATATAATTAAAAAAATATAGATGGGTATTCTTTTTTGATTAATATTTATATAATATAATATTATTCAATATTTTAGGTAGATTAATGTACACCAAAAATATATAGTTTAATACAATTATTTAGATTCTTTATATTTTACGTGAACTTTTAGTCTAAAATGCAGGAATTTACAATGATTCTAGAATCTAGTAGACAGCAATGTTTATATTGCATGAATTAGTTCATAGTGACGATAATCAGGCACGTATACAGGGGGAGGGGCATTCATCCTAACCTCTCTGAAAATGAATAGTTGTATAATTTATTTATATGAATTTGTTATTTTTTTACAACTCCCCCCCCCACCGAATTAGTTTTTGTGTATGTGCCTAACAATAATATTATTATCATAATTATATATTGTGAGTATGACAACTGTTAACAAAATATTATGCATATAAATATGTTAATCAAATATAAAATCAAATAATAATGGTTCCCTAATATTTGAGAAATATAAATATCATCAATTATTAATAGTTTTGGAAAAATAATAAGTTTAAAAAAAAAAGTTTTTATTAAGTTTAAAAAAATAAAAGGATTTTTATACAAATATGCTATTAAATTATTAGACATAGTGTACATAAAAATAATTTTATATTTATGTACTAAAATTATTTGTTTATAATTATGAGAATTACAGACATTACAATATATCTATGAATAAAATAAACATGATAATACAACAAAATGAAACAACGCACACATTGACAATTATAGTTATAATTATAATTATATTATTAACATTTATGGTATAAAAAAAAAAAAATTATTATTTTAAATTAGTAAAATGCATAATAATTAAATTGTATTATATGTTACTAAATTTAATAATAAAATATATATTCTTATTTTATATTAAATAGGCTTTCAATATCAGCAGTCGTTATGTCTTATTTACAAAATCCACATCCAATGTCAACACCGTGGTCAACAACATTTGGATAAATGCATTTTATAAATAAGTTTTTTTTTTTGTGAAAAATTAAGTTATCATTGTATAATATTAATCTATACAATATTATTAATATATTGTACTGTATGTGAAAGGTGTCACAGAAAAATTAAAAATAATTTCACTTTTTAATTAATTATAATTTTTTTTTTTAAGTTTAAGAATATCAGTTTCAAAACTTAATTTAAATTTAAATATATGTACATAAAAAAACACAATATTCAATTTACAGCAATCTTCCTCTGCAATGAACTGATTCACAATGACACTTCATTACTTTTCCCGGAACACTTCCTACATCATAACTGTAATCCCATGTAAGTTCTGTTCCAGCTTTTATGTAATGCAGTGCAAAGAAAGACACCCACGGGAACCGTATATCATGAGTATCAACAAATACATTTTGAACATATGTATTTGGGGAACATGAATGATTCAAGTACCGTCCAATGTTGCCACTTGTCTTGGCATCCATAATATAAACACTTTCATTATCTCCAAAATATTCACGCATTGGTTTAGTTGGTACAGGATTGTTTTTCATGTCGCGTGCATTTACTTTGGATGGTTTGTTTGTATGTTTTTCCTTTTTTTTACTCTCAGGTTTGGGCTTCTTTTTACGTTTACGCAATCGCAATGAAATCTCTGATACAACTTGTCTTTCTGTATATATATATAAAAAAAAAACAAATTTAATAAAAAATATTTTAAAATTTGATCAAATTAAAAAGACTATATTAAAAGAGATGCACGAAAAAAGAATAGTGGAACCATGAACATTTGACGTAAATTATACAATCAAATAGCAGATCTGAAGATTTTATTCTATGAAAAACTATTCATAGTAATTTTTGATTCAAAACATCACAGATTTTTAAACTTACAAACATACTCAAGTAAATCAAAAAATATATACATTTGTAATTTCTAAAAAATTGTTACTAAATTCCCAATATAATTTTTTTAAAGAAATACTGGTGAGAATAATTTTTGTTATACATTTAAAATTATTCAAACAAATGACCAAATATATTACAATAAAACTGATATGGTTAGGTAATAGATAGCCAAGGTGTATTTCAGGGGGGGGGAGCAAAGGGGTGATCGTCCCTCCCTCTAGGCCACTGTTTTTAATCTTTTAGATTCTGAGTGGAGCCAAAAAGCTTATGGTTTTACAAAGATGTTTATTATTAATTTATTTTTTTAATTGCAAACAACTTTTCTACCAGAAGATTTGCTCGGATTTCTATTAAGTGTAGCACCTTTTCTCAAAGAAAATCGGTGTGGGGAGGTACTTTAAAGAGGTAATTTTTAGATTTTTTTAGGAGTTTTCCTAACAAAAGTGAAAACCAAGGATAAAACCGGGAAAAAACGTAGACAAATTGGGAAAATCGGTACAATATTTAACAAATATTATTAAAGAAAATATATAAGGCCTATTTAATTACTTTATTATAAAATGACATTTATATTATTTACAAAGCATCACTATCAACTGAATTTTGCTCAGAATCTTTTTTTTTGTAAGCAATGGTTTATTGTTACTTACAGGTATACATTAAATTATCTATAACAGTGGCTGCACCTGTCCCCATTATTCTAAGACGTCCTTTTAATTTTCATATTACCATACTGACAGGTACTTATAATACACAGTGTGTACACTGAATATAACAAAATTAGTTTAGTTTTTCAACGTTGCACAGATTTTAATTTCATGTTTAAGTTGAGAAAAATTGCAAATCATATATTAATTTGAAATGTTATGTGGCCCATATACAATCAATATATATATATATATATATTACCAATATTATTGTCAAAATATTGACGAACATTAGAATGACCAACAACATATCAATATATCATTAAGTTACCTGGTCCATAATCAAATAGTAAAAGTAAATCAGCAACACAATAATATTGAAAATCTATCAATAAATATCAAAATAATTTTGATTTTTCAATATATTGAACACAACTTCAATATGATCCATACACTGTAAATATTGACAGTATATAACTGGGTCGTTTTAGATTAAAAACTTGGTTACTAAGTCAAATGAGACATCAAAGATTGACTGATTTGGTACTGTTGTATGTACATACAAACATTTTAAAGAATTTGTCTTATAGAATAAACATTACTTAGTACATAATTTTAAAAATTATATTTGTAGATTTAAATGATTTATGCAGCAAAGAGAAAATATTTTTACTTTCAAATTAAACTTTAATAAATTGACTTTTTCTCTATACTATTGATGTTTTTTTTTTTTAAATCCAGAAGACAAAAGATGGATGTACTTCACATGATAGGGAATTTAATTTATATCAATATTACACAATAATAAACTATTGCTTACAAAAAACGATTCAAAGCAAAGTTTCTTTTACACATATAAGTAAATTGTCCTGTTGTTCCCAATTATTATGAAAACCGCTAGGAAAATCAAAAAATGACCTTTTCAAAGTACCATCCAGATAAAAAGTACTACATTTGAAAATTAGAGCAAGATAGATTTCTGATGGAAAAGTTGTTTATAGATATTAAAAAAAAAAAAATATTATTGTAAAATCATTAATACATTTCTCATTACGCTGCCAGTCCAACTTATGAACAACATAGTAGGCAAGACTACATTTCTTAGAATTTAAACATGGATAAAATATTTTTAAAGGGCATTCCGTAGGTTTTTCTAAAATATTGATAAACAAGAAAATTTACAGCTATTTACATAAGTGAAACCTAAATAGCTGTAACTTTTTTGTCTGATAATATTTTAGAGGGAAAAATACTCAATACATTTTTTCTTATTATGTATGTTTAAACTTTAATAGCATCCTAAACACTAACATTCAATTCAAAGTAACATAATTATGTTATGCTACCTGTTAACTGAACCAAGACAAGAAATAAGGGCCTCTAAGAGTCAGACGTACCTTGATATTCTTCCTCAGAAGATTCAGAAGTTGTTACACCTTCATCAATTGTATTATTACTACTGTCTGGAAAAAGATAACTTCCAGGGGGTACTTCACTTTCATAATCTTCTTTAATTTTTTCAACAACTTCAATGTAGTCCAACTCAGCCAAGTATTCATCACCATAATTTTTACCTCCTTCATTGGCATCCGCTTCAGTTAACAAATAACCAACATAAATGCAGATGAAACTTCCTTGAGGTATATCATTTAAACAGCGAACACCCCATCCTTTTTTTTCTGTCATAAATAGTTGTAACTTTTGTGATAATGGTTGTTGTACCACACGATTTAAACATGAACTGCTACATTTACATGTTTTGTTGCATTCATATATGCCAGTCAGAACACGTTCAGGTAATCGTCGATATTGATAACCGATATTTGGATCGTTGTAAAGATTGGGTAGAATTTTTTGTCCTTGAATTGTCATTTGCCAACAAGCACATTTAGCTTTGTCTTGGCAGTTGTCTGTACAATCACATCCGCACAAGAAATCGCTTTCAACGTTTATGTTGACTCCTGGCATAGCTTGTCTAGTTGTCATATACTCCATTGGAGGAGGCATTTTATTATTAATAGTATTAACACATGTTATAGGTCGAAATTCTTTACCTTCAGATAAATCATCTATAAACAAAACATACTTCAACACTTGATATTCAGCCAGCGGTTCCACCCAGCTAGAAAAATCAAAGTGGTCAATTGTCATTTTACTTTTAGTCAGACTGAGATATAGACACATTTCACTCAGATTTCGGATCATATGACCACATGGCGTTCTGTACATAACACATCTTGATATAATAGTATTGGTACTGCTATTTTTAAAATATGCAATATACCTGTCAAAACCATAATGCAAAGGTGTAGCCAACATGCTAAGTCCACTCGTATCATTATAATCATATCGAGTCCATGCTATACAAGAATGATCACAGGTATGAATTTTCATTTTTCTCGATCTAGGAGCAGTAATAGGTATTATTAAAGGAACAGTCTTAAAAGTGATATTATTATGTTTAGACGATATAACTGTGCTACTGCTTTGTTCTGTTGCATTCTTGCTGGTACTTTTACGAGCTACACTTTTATGAGATAGAACAGCATCGATTATTTCATTTTCAACACTTTCTACAATGTTAGTTTTTTCATCTACAGTTTCAGCACTTCCTACACTTTCAGCACTTTCTGTACTTTTTACTCTTTCTGAGTTGTCTACATTTGAGTACTCAACAAATGGTTTTTTCAGATAGGCCAGTCCAGATTGTCGCAATCGAATACCTTTCTCAGACTTGCTTTGTTTTTCAAAAATGTTCCATAATCTAGAAGAACCCCGGTACAACCATTCGCTTTTTTGCAAATCCATAAAATATAATTTTACCATTGATGCATCAACTTCAGTAACTTTAGCCACCATCCACCGTTGATCAAATTCGGCTCTTACGAAATGGTTTTTATTTAATCTTACCATTTGACGTTCAGGATACTTTTCTAAATAACTTCGTAAAAATTCCTGACAATTATCCTGTACATCATTTGATACATTTTTAGATTTATGCACAATTAAACGGATATCATTATGATGGCGATATCGAACATTACCATTATCAAAAAATACCATGTACCTAAAAAATAAAATCAACATTAATATACAAAATATTGACTTATCCATATTACATCCTTAAAATAATTATAACCCAGCTGTTTTATACTAAAAAAAACTCTCAACCTAAGAACGCATCAGAAAAAATAAATTAATGCTTTTTTCATTACTACCATTAAGGGTTTACTGTATAATTATTCATTTCAATTCATGAAAATTATTATATATTATTTTACTGTTCATCATTTTTTTTTTATTTTTAATAAAAAGATCTATCATATAATTGAAAACTTTAATTAATTCTTTTTTATCAATCAGTCATGAATTTTTTTATAAATCTGACTTTTGTAGCTAAAAGAGACTAATATACAACTAGTTTACAGTATAATATAAATGTAATTAATGTAAATTAGTAGGTTTATCAAAAAAGAAACTCTGAACATGTTTTATCACAAGAATAAATACTTAAAAGTATTTTTTATAAAATAAAGGTTCACTTGTATACTAAGTATACTGAATTCATCTGAAAACAATATGTTATTAATCACTAACAACTTCATGGGATCATAGATAAAAATGTTTAATTTGGTTTGAAATCATATATATCATAAATATGTATAAAATCAAGAAAAAAAAAAATGAATTAAAAATTGAAGTGCTATAAATATTTTGTAAGAGTAATAATATGGACTAGTACAAAAAAATTAAAATAAGTATATTAAATAATCAATTATACCGAAATTTGTTAAGTAGTTTAGGTGGTTCAGCTATTACACCAGCATAATAATTGGATAATATTTGATTTTCAGTTTCAGAATATTTAGCAAGAACTCTGGCGCCTATAGGAAAACGTACTGGACTTGGGTCAAAGTACGCTACTTCTTTTGTTGTTAATAACTTTTCATCAGAACTAAACTTCATATGTAAATAATCATTATTTATTATAGCTTGAATTTTGCTTTTATACCATGGATCTAATAAAGAAAATTTTTTTGCAAACATATGTTGTCCAATTTGTAAAGTAGGATATTCTAAAGGCCCCTCATTGGGTAGATCATCTGGTATATCACAGACTATTACACTATTAAGAGTAATGACGTCTCCGTCCATTCTATTTTCTTCATTATGATTAATATTTGAAGTACAATTTTTTTTAACACATGCTTGTACATTGTCATTACTTAATTCTTCAAGATCTACAGTTTCTATAATCACACGTGTTGGTACATATGGCTCATATATAGCATTTCTTAATTCATCCAGTTCTTTTTCTAAATTATTAGATTGTTCATCAATCAAATTTGCTTGAGCTATACAATTCTGTAATAACACTTCTGTTTCATTTTCGCATAATGCAATATGTTTATCAATTATTTCCTTTTTATTTTCAAAATAATAATCAAATCCCAAACTGGCAAAAGCTAAAAGGTCTGGATCTGTGGGTACAAGTTTTAAAACTTCTTTAGGAATACGCAGATTTTTTTGAGTTTTATGTTCATTTTCATCTTCATCTTCACTTGAAGATGATTCAATTACAACATACGAATCATATGATGGAAACTCAGCTTGCAAAAGACATTCACCTCTATCCATTTTAGCTCTAAGTTTGTAAAAATGGTTCACACATTTTTTAAAACACATTGAACAAACCTAAAATAAAAAGTTTAAAAATAATTTTATATGCTTACAAGTTCACTGGATTATAAATTAAGAATATTAAATATATAAAAAACAAATAAAATTAATTAATTAATAGTAAATAATATGCATTAAAATATATAATGATAATAAAATATTATTTTTTCACTTTTTGTGGTTCTATTAACAGAAGATTCCCAAAAATCAAAACCAGTCTTATATACACATAATTTGTATAAAAATCCAGGCTCTATTTTGTTCTTATTCTAATAATTTATTCATTTGTTTTCGATATATTAATATATATTTTTATTTGATATTTTACTGAGTATTAATGTAACTTTTTTAATTTTAATGTAAAAATAGTGTAATTAGTTTAATCACCTCCTTGTTTGGTTTGTATCTAACATGATAGAAATTACACACAAAATCTAATGCTTTGATCAGGTTATCATCACCATTTGTACAATGTCTATTTATACATCGGAAATGATTGCGATCTGATTTGATTTCCACGATTTCTATTGATTCGTCTGACAAATCCATTATGTACCTAATGCAAGTACTTTTTTCTGAAAATAAAACAAATATTAACCTACTTAATCATGTTTTATTTATAGCATACATATTACAATTACAAAAAAAACAGTCACATAACCACATCGAGACAACAAAACATAATTGGAATAGAGGTGTAAACTAAATAAGTTAAGTATCATCAGAACTATGGTCAATAGGAAAAATATATTTCAGTCAAACTCCAAATAAACAACAAATTTAAAATAACAGGGAATATTTTTAAGGAAATAACAATTGTAAACAAAATAAACCACTAATCAAAAAGGAGTGTGGTAGTTGCATAGATAATACATCTATGCTACAATCTGTATTATCAGGCCATTGAACTCTATATGATAAGAATGTTATCATGTCGGCACGGACTAATAGCGTTTTCCATATCAGAACATCGAACACTAGTATGTAAAAGGAGCAATCTTTTTTGTGCCACCTACTTGAACTTTACCAATGTATTGCATTCAGTGCACTTGTAATCATAAAAGCTCCTCAAGCTTGTGCTTCTTTTCTTACATTAATAAAGATACTTATCTTAAATATAGTAATCTGTGAATTTGTATATTATTGATAATACTTTTTAATCTTTACTTTTATAGTCGTTAGTTACTAGTTTCCTGTTTTCAGTATAATATAGTTTCAGTAGCTGCTGGCAGTATTAACTATTAATATCAATTAGTATAATAAAGCGGCCATTATACAACTTACAATATCATCATCATGTGATGACGATGATAACATTATGCAATTCGACAACTTAAAAAAAATGTGATATGACAACCAAACGATAATCACCCTAGATCACATACAATGGATAGAGCTTCGGCGTTATTGCCTTCTTCATAATACCAATACAACTTATAATGGGTATTCGGATGTATTTTTTACATAGATATATATTACGATTCTGTAATATTTTATTAAGAAACCGCATTTTAATTCGAAGATCATGGAGCCTTATCAATAAAGTTATCTTCCAAAGAACTGTTATATCTGTGTAATATTGTTAACAATCACAGTCTTGGTCACAGCGGTAACAATGGTAAAAAGACAGATTTCACGATTATCACAATATTACTACGGTTACATGCATAATTTAAGGTTTAAAAATAGGTGGTTAATCACGTAAAAAATTTTAAATCGATTTTAATAAAATAAAATCAGTAGTAATATCGTCTATACATGGATCTATCACTTCTATTTTGATAAGTGATAAGTGAGCAATATAAATCATATTTCATTTTTATAAATTATTACTTACCACTATAATATTAAAGACTCACATGTAAACAAGTCAGGCAACTTAGGTAAATTCATAAAAAAGTAGGTTTAAATTTAGAAAAGCTTAATTCGTATCAAATAAACGTAGTATATCAAAGTATATGATAGGGCCCATGGGTCTTGAATTAAATGGGTGCCGTTTGCTTCAATAAATCACATTAGCAGGATACAGCAGTTAGCATCTAGTTTATAATCTATATCTGTGTACTTTATTCATAGACCTTATATTAATAGACAGACTTTGCTTATAGAATAGCTGAGGTCAGTAACCGGTCAGACATACTACAGTGGTGTACAGTATAATCATATCATTGTATGTGAATGTACAAGAACACTATAAATCACACGTGAAGAGCGCCCTCTATCCATTAGTAAATCGCCTGATTTTGGCTCACGAACTTTGAAATGACTAGTTAAATGTGTTATCAATAAAAAAGTTAAAACAATTTTCCCACATATCATTGATAATATGGTTTTCAAAAGAAATGATAATAAATAACGATTGATGGAACAACTTGTTAATTCAATTATTAAAATATTTATTAAATGCAATATGGCTGTTTATTATAATTTATCATCCAGTTATAGTGATGATTAATTCATATTGGAAGTCTTAGGACACTTACCTAAACCAAGGATATTTCGGAATAGGTCCGATCCACTGATATATTTTTATGATGTAGACTTATGTCGTAGATTCTGCTAAGTAAAATTAAAATGTAGGTAAATTCAAAATTTAAATTTTACTATATAATTAATGGTTATTATTAATAAGTGTCTATGATAACAACCTTTTGATATGAACTCCATGGCAGCTATTGTCGTTAAAAGATAAAAGTATAGATAATATATGTTTATTCTCCTTGAATAATTGTACAATTTCCATGAAATTTATTAAGCCATTTAACAAACCATTCAAATTTTAACGAATTATTAGTTAATCAATCGTATAATATTTAAGAAATGATTTTTATACAATCCAGTACTTGTCTATTACAATGAAAATAATAACAATCAATTGTATAGCAAAATAAAAAGTATTTCATCTATGGTTCCCCCTAACTATCACTATACTCACTTACTATTGTTCACGAACACCATAGACGGAAGGTAAGGAAAGTGCAGTCCATTTATTAATATTTCTATGGACAGAAGATGTAATTCTTTTTGGAAGAGAACTGGAACTAGTATATGATTTAAGGGTACTGCCGTAACCTAACCATTATATATGATCTAAGATTATATTACTATTATGTTCTGTAATAAGCAGTATTTATAAAGACTCATGGGGTCGGGTTATTTACAGTTAGATAACCGTGGATGAGAGTCCTTTGTAAGCAAATTGTTATCTTAATTAATTATGTTATGTTACCTTATTTACTATTTAATACTTATTTTTCTACTCTTTTCGTTGTTAATTTTAGTTTATTTTTAATTTAACCATTAGACTTTCTGCCCATACTTAAAATAATTAAAAATGTTTTATGTTTTGTTAACTGTACAAATGTATGTTACATACATAAGAAAAACTACAAAAATATTTGTAACTTAATTGATATTTTTCTTTCACAAATTAAGATATATAGGATCCCAACGAGAGTTCTTTATTGAATAGACACAGGTGCTAAAAACTAATCAAATTATCAATAGGTTATATTTTGCGTTATTTTTTAAATTTTTAATTGTTAAAATGTGTAAAGTAATAAATAGTAATATTTTACTACTTAAAAAAATGAACTAATTATTAAATCTAGTAAGTGGTGTGTATCAAATTGTCCTTCATTGACAAAACCGAAATTTGGTAGTATTAGATTTCAGTGTTAATATTTACAATTTTTAACTGATATTATATTGATAAATGATGAACACATAGAAAAAAAATTGTATTTCAAGTGATCAAATTTGTCAAATAATGCATATTTGTACTTAATGTTCTAATTAATTAATAATTCTGATGTTTAAACTATAATTTACAAAAGGGACTACGAACAGTGAAAGTAGGGTATACTGGCTAATGACAATATGTATTTAATGTAAATTTAAATTTACTAGTATTATATTAATTCATGCATTCATTATGATATAAACCATGAATTAATATATCTTTTATTGATGGATAAAACTAAATGGAAACTATTGGTTTATTCACAATTAATAAACCAATTATGTTAACAACTTTGCTTACTTTGGCAAATTGTACACACACAAGAAAACAATTAGTAAGTCCATGTAACATCAGTTGTGGGCTGAATTATAATACAGTAAGCTCTTCATAATATAGTTTATTACAATAAGTTCTTAACTGTTGACTATTGAACCCCGTAATTATTCCGGAACCTGGGAATATATTCCCCACCTCCTTAAGTAGAGCAGTACGTTTTCTTCGATAGTTTGATAAATAATTATAAATTACTGTTTTCAATACTATAAAATTGACTTGAAATTATCTAGCCCTAATCTGAAATTGCAACTGGTAGACCTTTTTTCAGCATTCACTTTTCGTGAGCCAGATTATAGTATAAAATTCGCCACAACCGTACACAATTATTATAGTATTTTTTGCATAGAAATATTTATGGGCGCCCACAGGAAATTTATCAGAGAAGAGCAGTGTTAAATTCTAGGATATAATAATGACTTTTTTTTTTTTGCTTACCTATATAGTTAAATTTTATTAATTTACCTACATTTAACAGGGAGGGGGTAAACAATATTTTAGGGGCACTGCCACATAATGAAATCAAATACTAAAGAATACTTAAAATAAATTTATATTTGAAATTTTGAAACTCAGGGGAGGACTCCCCATCTGGGCGCTCATGAACATATTATTTGTTCCTCCTATAGTTGCTCCTATCTGACTGAACAGAGCACACACAAATATTGTAGATAATATCTTTTAAAAAATGGCTATTTATTTTGAAAATGTTGTTAATTGAATAAATAAAGTTTTTTTTTGTATTTAGGGGATTAAAGTAAAAATTCAATATTTTTTCAAATCAGTGTCCCCTTCGAAGACAAACCAAATCAAAAAAGAATTTAATATTAACAACTCTAGAAAAATTTGTCGAACATAGTGGGACACACTGTATATATACAGTGCGTTCACTCTAAGAGGCACCACTAAATATTTCTGTTGGATGACTTAATATTGAAATGAAATATTTGGTGTGTGATAAGGGAGTATCCAAATATACATTTTAAGACAAATTTCAAATATTTAACCTTTTTAGTACGGGGGATGAAACTCCTAAAACCTCTCTTGTACACGCGCCTGCCTATGTAACTCAACTGCTGTGTTTAAACTACTTCTAAGACCTAATTACAATTAGTTTTGACTACATTAATTAATATTTTTTTTTATATCTTGTATTAAATCATGCTGACAAGTATATATGTACCAAAGTCTGTGTAAATTAGATCTGTGCTTTAGAGGTTATGTAGTCCAAGTATAAATCTAATAAGTTTGTTTATAGTGGTCTTAAGTTTAGTGATTAGGTGCAAATTAATGGTCCTTCCCCATATTTCGATACCGAACTTAATAACTGATTGAACAATAGCCATACATATTAATCGTAGGTTATTCAGTCACGTTTTACATTTTACCTGTGATATACCTGATAATGAATTTTTAATTTGAAACAGATCGTACAATACACTTATCATAATAGGTACTCCAGGTGACGCATTCATTCATTCATTATAATTTATATATTTATTTACTAAATATAACACAATCAATGTGTATTTTCTATTTTAGTTGATAGTCCGTGTGAAAACTTATGTATTTAACATTATCAACTTTCTCAAAATGTTTACAGGAACAATTTACTAGTTCATTAGATACACATAACCCTGAATGATTAATGATTTTGTACTAATTAATAATGGTTACATTTTGTATATATTGAATATGATGTATTTAGATTTCTCAAGATTAAGCTCTAGAAAATTATTGTCAAACCATAACTTTACTAATTT